ATGCATAAATAAATCTTAAAAACAAACAAACAAACAAAGATCTCTGAACTAGTTCTACAGCACCCAAAAATGTAAAACTGACAGGTAAAGACTGTCACTCACTGAGCCACTGCACCTGGATTTGAGAAGTCATTTGTTGCATGTTTCAATCAGAGACCAGCTTATACATAAAATTACAGGTTTACTGGATTATACTGTACTTTTATGAATAAGCTCATTTCTGATTGGCTACAAGACTTTTAAGATTTAAATCAGTCAAAAGATATAAACAACCATGTTTAGCTAAAACAAAAATGGAAATAAAGAAAAATTTAGACTCATAAGACTCCTCTGCATAAATTTCCCCATACTTACCAATTATTTTATACTGAGTTTTGTTTTGATTTAGTGATGTGTGTGTGTGTGAGAGAGAAAGAGGGTGGGTAACAGTGCTGATGTTCTCATCTTATACAATAGAAAAGTACAGAGAGCAGCTCACATTTATAAGAAAATAGATTTTTACAAAGTTATTTTATAATTAAAAAAAAAAAAAAAAAGATACATTTAGAAGCTTAATTCTCCAAAGCAGAGAACTGACAAACTGACACCCTGAGTTGAGCCACCAAGGAATCTACTGGTCTGCCTGAGTGAGCTAAAAGAATGGTAAACTGGATAATGTCCACCATTAAGGATGAGTTCCATGACCCTTAGGGGAAAAAGGTCACACAAAGATTTGCTTATCATCTATGAGGGAGCCATCATGAACTATAGTTTTAAGGCTTTCTGTAAGCTTCTAAAACCTCCTTGCTATTTCTAGAAGTAATAGTGCTTCCACTTGTGTTGTATACACCAGCACCAAAAGGCTTCCCTGGGCTGGACTCTGACAGAGACTGCTGCAGGAGATAAAGGCATGTGTGAGAAATATGGCTAAAGAAAGGCAACAGAAGATGGTGGATTACTTACTTCACCCACAGTGGGGAACCTTTCAAGTCCTACCCCACCATTAAGCTCTAATAGAGGCTTATTGCACGCCTGGGTACCTTTTAGCAAAGTTTCATTCTGAAAGGAACTAAAGTAGTAGCCTGGCCAGGCGGGCTACTCACAAGAAACATACAACAGCAGCAAGGCCACTGAAAAAGGTAAGTGGTGATACTTTAAATACTGATACCGGAATTGAAGTCATCCCGGGAATCCCATCCACCTCTAGATTCTCGAGAGCCACCCATTCCTGAGGATACACAAAAAAGATAAAGTTGAGGATGTATCATTACCTTGCTGCAGAAACATGGAAAAACTCATTGGGAAGACGTACGTACAACTCATGTGATGGGAAGTTCAATGAAATCATTATAAGAGTGTTTGCTGCTGATAGGAAAAAAACAAAACAAAACAAAACAAAAAACCCCAGGCTTGCAGAAGCATCATCCATTCTAAGATTTTTCACACTTAAAAAAACTCGCAAAACCCTATCAGACCTATGAGATTGTTTTACTACTAACCTTCCAGGGTTGTAATTGGTGGGCACTGGGCAGAGCTAGTTTTATGTTCAGTTTTAGAAGAACTAATTACCTCTGTCATCTGGTCCACCTTTCCTGAATCCAAAGCCACCTTTATCCTGTTTTCTGCCTTCTGCAATGTCCACACGAAGTGACCTATCACCCAAGAGCTAATGATAAGGAGAAAACAGTGTTAAGGCGCGGCAAAAACAAATACCCAAATGCTAACGTAAGACAAAGCCTGAAGATATTTATACTTACTGCACCATCATAAGTCAAAGCTTCCTTAAGGGAATCCACCTCATCAAATTCTACATAGCAGAATCCTGTAAAAGAAAACAAGTCAATTTTCCTCAAGGAATTCTGGGTTAAGACATGGTAGGGCCCCCTCCCCACCTCTGTGCCACTCACACACATCATAACCATGTTTTTGTTGTATCAGATCAACAGTTAAGAGTCTGAAAGTACACCTATTCAATAATCAGAATGCAAGGCCTAGTCCTCTGTTATATTTTAGCAGAAAGTACTAATCAAACAGGTACTGAAATAGTTGTTTTTATAAAGCTTTCTTTTTAAGCAAACTATTTTTATTCACACACACACACACACACACACACACACACACACACACACACACACA